CTGTTAGAAATGTGACAGGGGCCACAGAGTGGTTCTTTAAGGATGACCAACAGACAAACTAGAAAGACAAGTAACATCAGAGAAACTCATGGCATCAGTTTCTGTTGCTCCACCCAAACACAGATTGTTAGAATACAAATATGTTTTTTTTCTTTTTGGAATACAGAACATGGTTTTCATTAAATATTAGCATAGTCAATTCTGTTTAGATACATCCATCCTCTTATTGAAGGACCATAGAGAAATACTCAGTGGCACTAAAGTTTAAAATTCACTACCTGTGGAGAAACCAGAGAATGTTCCAGATGATATATTTTTGATGATAATTTTGATTCTTAAGTGCCAGCCCTGGGAACCAGGACCATAAAGTTTCCCAAGGAAGGTAATAACACAGAAAACACAAGCTGGAGACACCCTCTCATGAAGCATGGCAGCTGCTGCTGGGTTAACGATCACATCCTTTTTCTTTTGTGCTAAGTTGTTAAAGAGCATTTTAACATTCTTTACGTCTCTAGTCGTGTCCTGTGTGAGTCATCTTTCCACACCCTGTGACCACATGTCACCCTTGCATTTTTCTGAGGTGCATGCATAGACTGAACACCTAGTGTCTTTCATCACCCCTGCCACCACATCCATTTAAATGTGAAGTAACCTTTGCTCCATACCTATTGTCCTTACTGGGATAGTAAAAAGCAGTTCTCTTCAAGTAAGAATGTTGGAAATGATTATGAAGCATGTCTTCATTCTTCCCTTCAGAAATGATGTAACCATTGACTCCGGGTATTATTATATATTCAGTGTTCTACAAACCACCTGCCTGTTTCCTCTCCTGTAGCTCCCTTTTACCTACAGAGCAGCAATACCAGCCTTCTTATGGCATGTCCAAGATTCAAGCAGCTTTCCACTCAAAAGAAGTTCCTTTGTAAGTGCAGCCCCCTTACCAAGTACAACAGCTCATTTCTGTTTCGTCCCTGGAATGTCTGGCCTGCCTTCATCTACACACCATCCTCAGGCTTAGGCAGGTCCTCCAAACACACGCACAATGCCATAAACACCTCACTATGGTACACGCCACAGCCATCACTCAATTATTACTTGAGTAATTGCATTTTTAAAATAAGTATCTCTAATAATAAGACTGTGGGTTCCAAGGGTTAGTAACTATGTCTTACACAAGAGACATTTTCTGTGAATCTATCTAGGCCAGTTTGTAACATGTGTAGGGACACTAAATGACCAGGTATGGGAATAGGACCAGGGGACAACAGATCCCAGTTGCCCTAGAGAACACTTTTTAGTCTAGTCTAGTAGTAGTGATGATTCTACAAATGTCTGTAAGTGATGTGATAAGATTTGTTTTAGAGATAGTGTGGCTGGAATGGCAGATGGGACACCAACGATTGTATTGTCGACTGCAAAACGTAGTCATGCATTTCCTGTGTACATGCACATCCTTTTCTCAAAGTGACCTTGCTCTTATTACTATCCCATACTTCAGAGTTGAAATGTGGTGGTGAGACTTGACTTAGCCAATGAGACATTATCAGCTGTGACACTGTAGAGGTTTCCAAAGTGTCTGCCCATCAGGTTTTGCCTAGCAACATGAAGCTGCCGTGTAATTCCAAAACAATGAATCATAATCTCGATTAGGCTCTAAACTTCCACCACCTTACTCACGTGGGAAACTCTGCTCTTTCTCCAGTACACTCGTCTTCAGACTGTGATAGAAAGTGGTTTACACTAGAATCTGGAGAGTGGGTAAGGAAAACCCAGAGTTTGACTTCCTCTGACAGGATATCCTAATACACTCAGGACATTACCTAGAAAAATTATCCTGTAAATTTCATGGACCAATGAGTAAAAAGCAAACTCAGCCCAGGAAGTTAACCAACTCTAGTGACATTTGTATTAGAAGGAGGAAGAACAAATGCTCAGCAGATGGAAAAGGCGAGCAGGACGTGTTAGGCAAAGTGGGTAATGGGCAAAAGGCAGAGTGCCAGAGTTCCAGTCTAACTCATGTTCCTAAGAACTCTCCAGAAGTTTCTTTGCAGCATCTAAAGCATTGTAGAGAGGTCATTCAAATACAAATTTGTGATAATTATTGCTTTTCCTAAAAGTATTCTTATTTTCAAAGATTTGCTTTAAACATGATTGTTGTTCCATCCGAGTCTCATCCCAAGGCACAGGCCACACAGACAATAGAATTTAACAGGTGTTTTATTTGCCTTAGTGATCAGTTTCAGAAACTCTAAAATTATGATGATTTTATAGAATTGAATCTAATACTTGATCTTTTCTGGCATGTCCTTTTATGGATCATGAAATTACTGACATCTCTAGTGCCTATTAAAATGCGACAAGGACTTTTGGTATTTTTCTTAAACATACTTTACACATATTACCCTACTTCTAAAGTGACAGGAAGTCATCCCTGAATGAAATCATTGCCTCATGGTTCTTCTGTGTTTCTCTGCAGTGAAGCATAAGAAGTCCCCAAAACACACACACACACACACACACACACACACACACACACTTGCATACACACACACATCCATACCTACTCTCTCACACACATACAGTGTGGTCACACACACTCACACACATACACAACTCAAGTATACATACATATACACTCACACATAGTCATATGCACATACACACACTCAACACTCTCACACACACATACACACATTCACAGACACTCAACACTCACACACACACATGTTTAACACTTAGAAACACACACACACACACACACACACACACACCACACCACACTTTTTGAAAGCATCTCTCTTATAAGCAGGTGCAAAGCCTGCCTGTCCTTAGGGAAACAGTCTAAGAAAGGATGTTCTGGTGATTCTATGCTCATTAACCTTCTCTCTTCTAGACATGATCAGGAAGATACAATTCGCAGCATCATGCATGAATTAAATTTGTATCTTCTCTCATGACTAATTACATCTTGAACCATCTGAGGTACTTCACAAACATATAGCTTACCATAGCCTGGAGATGGTTATGCAAAACTGTTATTGAGAATATTACTTATTTATTTACTTACTTACTTACTCACTATTTAAGAAAAATGTCTTATTATATTGTCCAGGCTAGCTTTGAACTTCTGGGTGCAGATCATTCTCCTAGCTAAGCCTTCTGCGTCCTGGGACCATAGGTGCGACCTCCCTCCCTAAGTGAGCACTTTTTTTCTTACCCATTTACTCTTCTCCTGAAAGAAGTACTTCCATATTCCTGTTCCTCATATAAATAGACCAAAGCTACAATAACACTGTTCAACAACATATAAACTGATTTCTTCTCAGACACAGTCACTGAGGAAAATGAAACAAAAAATGACAGAGAAACCTAATGAGTGTTTTAAAATCAAACTTATTATTGCCTCCTTCATATTACTGTGTAGAGACCTTATCTCTGTGTGTGTTCACTTTACCTCAAACAGTAAAACAAATTGACAAAAGTACTTGAATGCTCAACTGTGTGCATAGCAACGTTGAATCTTTTGCCCACTGAGTATTGTGGGGAGATCTACTGATGCTAATAAAAGCTTGTTAACATTCAGGCAAACCCAAACCTAAGACAAATGAATATCCCCATGAAGAACAATAGGCAGGAGAGTGTGTGTGTGTGTACATGTGTGTGTGTGTATGTGTGTGTGTGTGTGCTTTTCATAGCAACCTGTGCAAAAATGCAGATTCTGAGCTAAACTGTCAGACAGACATTTTATTCAACGGTATATTCAATTCCTGTCCCTCTGCCCAGTTCTTACTTTCTAAGTTTGAATATACTTGTGAGATTGTAGTTTTTAAAAAGTCTGCAAGAAGATCATGAGACCCAGGCAGACCACTGGTTTATCAGATCTGGCACCCAAGGAAGAAAATTACCCATAATGCTTGTTAAGCAGTTGTGTGACTTAAGTGTAATGTGTAACTTACTCTGTGAGTGCTCAGAGTATAAAATAATAGGGAAGTTGATATGCTGTGGTTGCTTCCACCATGTTTCTTTTTAGAACATCCTACCCATTCATTGCCGATCCTTCGGCTAGTTGGAACTTTCCCATCCTTTTATATGAAAGACAACAATGCAAGGACGGAGTGCAATCATGAAAATATGAAAATTTCCCAACCTACTTGTGGATGCCTCTGTCAAAGAGCAGAGGAGTGAGTGGCTGTGTTGTGCTTTCCTGGTGTGACTGACTTGATTTCTTTTTGAGTTAGTTAAATGGCATTGTTAGGTCACAGATCCTCTAGCTATCTTCTTCTCCCTCAGGCCACATCCTCCTGCAGGCTCAGAGGCTTACTCTCTGGAGGCCAGCTACAGAAGGATGCTATGACTAACCTACCAGCTGTCGGAATGCCTTTCCCCTCCTCTCTCCCTCTATACATCTCTCACTGTTTCTGTTTCTATTCCTCTCACCTCCCTTTCCCTACCCATCTTGCTCTCTCATATCTGTGAGCAAGCCCAGTAGGCCCTGATACCTAGACTGGAGACAACCTCGAAATGTCCTTCCCTGTAACTCCTGGCACTTAAGCTTTGTTAGGTTAATGTGCTCCTACTTCAGGGTTCATGACTGCCTGTAGTTATATGAGTAATGTCAAATCAGCTTCCTTTCTATAAGCCTGCTTTTCAGCATGCTATTACAAGAATGACAAGTTATCACAGTGGGGCTTTTGTTCATATAAAACTGAAGACAGCTGAGCGTCAAGGAGCCTTGAGCATATTCTTTTGTGTCTCCAAGTTAGATATCAGAATAATGTGTGTGTGTGTGTCTGGGTGTGTGTGTGTGTGTGTGTGTGTCTGTCTGTCTGTCTGTCTGTCAGTCTGTCTGTCTCTCTATTTTCATTGTGGCCTACCTCAGCTTATAAACAATTGAAGGTTGATAACGTTGTCTGTATAATGGGGGAAATAGTCTATGCAGTGTGCTGAGAAAGTCGCGTTCTTAGGTACATTTTAATTGAAGAACTGTTCTGTCTTCTCAGCTGTTAAGAAGAAAGCCAGCTTCATCACTCCAGTCCCAGGAGGTGTGGGACCCATGACTGTGGCCATGCTTCTGAAGAACACACTTCAGGCTGCGAAGAATATCACCTACTAGATCACAGGGGCAGTGCACACAACGAATACTGCTGCTTAGTTATTTGTCAACAGGCGAAATCCCTTCTATTTTACTACAAAGCTATTTATTTCTACATGTATTTATTTTTTCATGACTGGAATCATTTTGGAACTGATTATTTACATGACTTTATGGATTTCTTGCTAATAAATTTGAGTCTTAAGAAAAAAAATCAAAACAATTCCAATGACACTTGTGGTAACAGTTCTTTATTTTATGGATACTTGTTCATAATGTTACAACAAATGAAGAGTTCATATTTAATAAATATATTTTTGACATAACCTAAGTATTACACACTGTATGCTTTCAAAAACTGTTTTACCAGCTAAACATGTGCTGTGTGAACCGCAACTTGAGGTTTGTTATAACCATGATTTTCTGTACAGTCTACACTCTAGGTTGTCTGTGGAGAAGAGCATTCTACAAGGCCATCCTGCATGAGACTTGTGAAGTCAAAGCTAGTCCAGAAAGCAAAGGCTGCAACAACACTTGAAACACTAAGACTGATCACTGTGTGAGTGAATCTGTCATTAAATACCCTTAAGTGATATGTTTGTTCACGGGAGCAGGAATCTGACAGAATTGTAATTCAGTAATTTTGTTAAAATTGAACCCTTGGATGTAACAAATAGCTAGTTCTTGTGCACACACATCTTTTCTTTCCTAGGGTAGCATTTGGTTCCTAACATAGACGCTGTGTTTCTAACACAATTTCAAACTAGGAAATGTGTATGACTATTACTTGAAGGTTAACAACTAGAGCCATAGAATTGGTACTGTGGTTTCATGCCTAAATCCCAGTATGTTTATGTACTACTAACAATCCTTGTTCAACGCATGTCTTTATCAGTGTGCTTCTTGTGTGGAAATAGACTAGCTGTTTATCATTAATATCGCAATTGTCCAATAAAAGTATTTTGAAGAAGAATTATAGCTGTATTCTTTTATTAAGATATAGCTTGAAATATGTTGATTCACATATTTGTTACCTGTTTGTTTTGTTTGTTTTGCCTGTGTGTGTGTGTGTGTGTGTGTGTGTGTGCGTGCGCGCTTACTACGTACTGGAGAAAATGTATCAAGTTTCTCAAGTATGAAAGAAAATATAGTTGAATGTTTTCTGTAATGAGTTAGAACAGCCGGTCAAGTATTCCTAACAGAGCTGTAAATTCAGTTTACACACAAACATATTAGAAAGCGCATGGGTTAAGTCAATTTTAAAGGAGCTTGGATTTCCAAAAAAAAATGCCCAGTGATGCCTGAATATTAAAAATGTGGGGACTATAGTAATCCCAGCGGGATGAAAAGGATTATTTTAGTATACTATTTATTTAGGGATCAACCTTCCTGGAGACTATGAAAAAAGGAAGGAAGAAAGGAAGAAAGAAAGAAAGGAAGGAAGGAAGGAAGGAAGGAAGGAAGGAAGGAAGGAAAATTCTTACGCTTATTTACATTGAAAAAGAAGCAAGAGTTTTTTCAAAACAAATGCAGTGGGGTCAATAGTCAATAAAAGAGATTGACCTCATAACTACAAAAAGCAAAGACTCATGGGTATTTATAGCTGAGTCACCAAGCTAGGGAAATCAATTGATGAGGATGTTTAGATATCAAGGAGAGGCACGTTCTTACTGATCTGACTTGTCAATTTTCTTGATAACAGCAGGCCAGAGACTTTAACATCAGGGCATGAGGACAGGAACTGCATCATGGGTATACAAGGTATGGTTTGATGTGCCCATGAGCTGAGTTAGCAAGCTTCTCTGCCAAAACTGAACTCAATTAACTGAGATCCAGGTTGTGTTTACAGAGGGCTCAGATGGGTATAAATAAGTGTGTAGTAAAGGCTGGACTTTTCTCAGAAATTAGCTGAATGATATGACTTCATTTACAGTTATTTGGTGGCCTTGAGGAGAGGTGTGCAGATGCAGTCTTCTCCCTACACTATCTGAACCTTAAGGAATTGATGGAAATTGTCCTGTAGCACAAGGAAACATATGTGGAGTGAAAACAACGCAGGTAGATAAAGTGAGGAGTGGTAAGAGTCAGAAGAAACTTAAAGAAGCAGGAATGAAGACTGTATTTAACAAGTAAATAGGATTTCAGACAGAGCCAGAAGACACCATCCCTCTTTAGCATAAGGAAGTTATCAAGGAAGTTGACTTAGGAGAAGAGATAATAAGTTCAATTTAAGACATGTTGAGTGTGAGGCAATGACATCATACACAAGCAACAGTCATTAAGCAACACAAATCCTGGAAGGGGGTGGATCTTCATGGCTGATGATGAGAATACAAGCTTCAACTGCATGTACCAACACCAAAATTCCTAGAATCAGAGGCCACTATCCACCTTGCATCCCTTCACGTCATTCAACACTGGCAGATTCTCCTTAATGGAGTGGCTATTGTGTGCTAAAGATTTCCTCTTAATCTTTTTATCTTTTCTCTTTCTTAACCCTCTATGGTAGGTGAGGAAAGTCCTAGTTACTGATTGCTCAGCCAAGGGCAGAGATCATACCTTACTATTTGAATTTAAATAAGGCCCATTGTGAGGATGTTCCTCTGAGCCTACTCACCACTTTACAGTCCCCATGATAGCCTTCACTTTTTTAATCACTACCTATAAAAATTCTACTTATGAAGATTCATTCCAAATGAAACTTTGCCATGAAAAGTTGAGTACCACTTCTCAACTGCCACAGCCCTTTGTGTTGACCGCCATGGCAGTTGTCACTTCCCATGTTATGCATGTATGTTCCCTGGCTGGCTTTAGCTATTGAAGGTCAGAAAACATGCACTGTCCACAGATTTGCTTCCACAAACAGCGTTCTGTGCAGCCCAGTCATGACTGCAGAAATTCCTGCAAATTCTGAGGAATTACAAGATAAATATAGGGGGACAAACAACCCTCACATATACTTTCTGCCAACAACTAGCCATAAGTCCTCATTGAGTGAAAGACCAACAAAACCAAGACAACTAAAAGTGCCAAAATATGAAGAGCAGAATCAACATCAAGAGGTGCTTATGACCAGAGGAGAGAGACAGATACTTTAAAAGAAGTGTGACATGAGGAAAAGGTGACAGTGGGGCTCTTTTTTCCTTAACATGAATTTTCTTCAGTGAGTATTAGCAATAAATGAAGATGCCAGGGAGTCTATCTTGCACTATGCATCTCTCTACCCTTTAAAATTGGAAAAGGGGACCTTTTGGTGAGAGGCTCAAAGTGACTTTCATACAGAGATCAATCAGTACAGACCTCAGAGGAGAAGCAGCAGGTGGGATGGCTTAGCCCTGTTCCCCAGGGTCAATGGGTGCCAAGGATGTAGCTGAGATGGCAGAGGGCTAGATGTGGCCTAGCCTACAGTGAGACTCTTCAGAGAGCTACTCATCCACCTCTGTGCTCTGATATGAGTGAAAACTTTGGTTCCTCTAATACTTAGTGGGGTTTTTTTATAACAAAAGAAAATGTATTTAAAATTTGATTTCTGGAGTTAAGGGACTTCCTCTATAATCTCTTCAGAAACTTGTGCCACAGACGCAACTGGAAACATAGGAAGGCCTTCTGATGAATGGTTTGAAAATGAGATTAAAGTCCTATCTAATGCATGTTCTTTGTCTGGTGACTTGAGTATTTCTTCTCTCCTCCTTTTTCTCCTTCCCTCCCCCTTTCTCTACTTATTTCTTTTTCTTGTGTACTAGGGATTAAATACAAGTCCTCACCCATGTAATTACACTTTCAACCACTCAGCTGCACCCTCACCCAGATTTAATCCTTTTGAACATCCATTCATCAGTGTTATTTGAGGTTTATGTATGCATGCATGTATATATATGCAGTGTGTATGTATGTATGGTCTAGTTACGTCTGTTTTGTTCTGATAAACATCATGATCAAAGGCAACCTGGGGATGGGGGGAGAGTTTATTTGCTTACATGTCACAGGTTACAGTCCATTACTGGGAGAAATCAAGAAATCAAGACAGAAACTTGTCAGTAACCCTTCATCAGAAACCTAAGCAGATTCCAGGGAAGAGTACTGGTTATTGGCTTGCTCTCAATGGCTTCTTCAGCTTGCTTTTTAAAAATACAATCCAGGACCATTTGTCTAAGGGTGACACCATCCACAGTGAGCAGAGCCCTCCTGTATCAATCATTAATGAAGAAAATGTTCCACAAACATATTCACAGGACAGTCTGATGGAGGCCATACTCAATTGAAATTCTCTCTTTCCAAACATATCTAAGTTTGTGTCAAGCTGACAAAAATCCAACCAACACCAGCATAGTACCTCATTGAACCTGGAGTGTACCAGTTCAAGTAGACTGGCTTGCATCTACCCACAAGTATCGTTCTGCTTTTTCGTTCCCAGCACTGAGATTTTAGGTCCGTCCCATCACTGCTAGTTATTACATGGGTGTTGGAGAGACAAACTCAGCTCCTCACACTTGCACAGCAAGCACATTACCAACTGAGCTGTCTCCACAGACCCTCCAGTTAGCTGTTATGACAAAGATGATCATTGTATATCAGTAGCTCACTCTTAAGAATAAAGATCTTAGACCAGGTATATTTGACACCAGTAGAACTTGCTTAATATGTGATAAAGTTCTTGGGTTGGTCCCCCCCCCCCTTTTGCTCTTGCTTTCTCTTGCTGTCTCATACAAAGACACACAGAGATAGATAGATGATAGATATGTAGATAGGTAGGTAGATGATAGGTAAATAGGCAGATAGATAGTTAGATACATAGATAGATGGATGGATGGATAGATAGATAGATAGATAGGATGCCAATATTTTTCCAGAAATGTCAAAAGACTTGTGATAGTATTTTAATCCTTAGTTGATTATATATTAAATCATCCACAAGATGCTAAGATAATTCTTTGACTTATAATTCAACTATTTTTTCCTCGAGAAAAATAGTGCCCAGAAATTGATGTACTAAATAGTAACTTAAGATCATAAACCTAGAGCTACAGTGTGTAGACATAAGAAAGCCAAGTGGTACATATTCTTTTACCTTTAAAGTGATGACTCTTGTGGTAAGTGATTGCCCAAGCTGTAATGAGTGCAACAAGCTCGTGCTTGTGTCATCTCTAAAGCCAAATTCTTATTTAAATATGGAAAGGGATCCTTTCTGATAAATCTAATTTGCTTGGTGGACATGATTCACACGATAACCAATCTTGAACAAGTTTTCAAGGTTCAGAAAATATAAGCAAATAAAATTCCAGGTAGAACGGTATGCCACTTCAGCAAACTATATTCATAAATATTCGAAGTTATTTGGGCAGTTAAAATTTACAAGTAACCCCTACAGTTTAAACAAAAAGGCATAGGCATAATTACATATTTGGGCTTTTGTAATCTCATTTTAATCATTACTGGGTCAACAGTCAAAAAACCTTGAGTTTGTATGCAATTAAGACTAGCTGCTCATTAGATTTAGCCAAACTAGAGGCTGCCTCAATGAAAAATTTATAATGGCTATTACCACCATACATGGTTTCAATATTATTAATATAATGATTCTCTGCAGCCTACCATGAAGACAAATTTAAGCACTGTTGATCCTGGAACTTAGTGGTCCATACGATTTCTTTATAAAGCATTAAATGTCAGAACGACAGAAAGGTTAATGTTATAGTGTTAGAAGTAATTTTACTTTATAAACTTTATCATAAACCCAACTAAGTAACAAAACTAAAAATAAAATGAGAAACATGTTTGTTTTACACAAATTCTGTTCTTCTTTATAACCAAATTAAAAATATTTTTAAAATATTAATACTTTTTTCGGAGGTCATAATGATAGGTAATGGGGTAGCATCAGGGACTTTCACAGATCCTAACAGATTTTCTTGTCTGCAGATCCGCAGGTCTCTTGGCTGTGACCCTTCGTAGTCTACTAGGAAAGCTGGAGTT